TGAGAATCTACCGTTTTGAAAAAAAGTATTATAGAATCCCATTGGTTGGTTACATACATGAGATGCTACTTAATAGAAAAACCACCTGAATTTGGTATCACAAGCATATATTTATCGTAAACGAATTATGCTTTTCTTATTTTATTTGAAAGTTTCGTCAGTTCTATACAAATAGATCCTTCTATTATTATCCATCATTTTACAATGCAGATAAATTTATGTTTAAGCTATTTTAAATTTATTCACAGAAGATCAATGAAGAAATGCGGTTCCAAAGCAATTCGAATAATTATGTTTCATTTTTATGTCATAAATTGCATTCTAATAGTTAAGATAAATTTGTCTTTTATTCGTCTGCTATGAAGAGGGATAGCACGATATCCTGAACTGGACAAAGATAAAACACTAAGCGATAGTTATCACGATGCTCTTCAAATAAATATTCATCATCTTTTCATCTTCATATCTGGAGATTTTTAACATATTCGACTTTAACTGTTAATATACAATGAATAAGTAGCTGGGCAGATTTGAAAAATAAAACGGTATTTTTCATTGTATCCTCTATCATATTCAGAACGGTTTGAGCAGCAAAACGGAAACTATGTTTTACTACAGAAGTTTGATTTATACGGTGCTGCGACGTAATCAGGATTTTTAGACTACTGGGTAAACTTCTGTTGTGTAGCAAAAATAATGATGGGTGTAACGGGCAAAGTTTTATCGGAAGTGCAAAATTTTCTTTGTTCAACAATATATCAATTATATGAGGAAGAAAACAAAAAATGAAATGCGATTGCACTAGTCAAATATTCACCAGACTGATATTTTAAGCCTAAGTGACTTATGCTTTAGTTTATTTCCAATATATTTCCTGATAGCATTTGTAGAATCCCCTGGATACTTTGGATCAGAATTTTTAAAATTAATTTTGGTTTTGTTTATTTCTAATTGCTTTACACTGCAGAAAAGTGATTCTTTATATCATTGCTAATCCAGAGTGTCCCCTGTTAACGGAGAAAAGTATCACCGAAAAGTAGTATGCAGAGAAGGAGCATTCAGCAATAGTGACAGAAGGGATGTAGAGTTGATTCGAATTACCCTGCATGATACATTTCAGATTAGTCAGTCAACTAGCTGGCATAATTCGAAGCACCTCAGTTAAAACTGAAATATCTAATTATATTTCTCTATCTCCTCGCTCACTATTTGTCCCTTCTGATAAAACCAAAAATATGCTACTTGATAGCCCAATGTATTCTCAATAGGGCCTGACAAAATCGCGATGAGCTAATATGAAGTTGTAATTCAACATTCGAAATACTGTTTCCTCTATAAGTCACTTTTTACCAAGTAAAAATCTGTTTGAGATAATTAGGATCAGCTAAACAATTTTATATGAAGTTATTTAGATCGCTTTAGTTATTTTAGCTGATGACCACTTATAAAACTCCCAGTAGTTTAACGGTACTAACTTTGTCACTGCACCTATTAGAAAAGTTGTTCATCTCTCGTTTCTCTCTTCGCATGCAAAATAATTCGACATTTGGTGTGACTGATCACGCATCGTACTAGTGAAAGAATTTAGACAGAAGCTATATAATCGACTGATATACCCATGTATTCTTTCATAAAATATTTTAAATGTCTGCAAGTCCATAAGCAAAATAAGTTTGCTACGTCAAGTACAGAATTGTTAGGTCTACAAATTGATATAACAACACCTCTATAATATGATTAATGACTTTATGAAATTTTGAGAAAACTATCCACAAGACATCATTTTGCACGTTTTCTGACTGACTGCCAGTGTGCCTCAGTCCGAAAACCTTCTTGAACAGGCAAATAATGTATTGTTGTTCTGAATCAGTATTCAAAATTAAATAGTCACAAGAGCGTTTGACCCATGTTCATGAATCTTTAATTTTATTCGAGACCTTCACTTCTGGTATTTTACAAGAATAAGCCAAGGTTGAATCTCACAAAAAATGTGTTGTAATACCGAGAATTGCATTCAGAAAGTTTAAAATAGTATTATAACTAGAAACAATGTTTTAGACCACGATACTTTTGCCCTGTATATTATGCTTCGGTGATTCTTTTATCAATAGATGGGGGATACTCTGAACTAGCAATTAATTTAAAAAAGTCGCCCTTCTTCAATGTAAAACAACTGAACGTGAACGAAAACAAATGAATCTTCAAAATTTTGATCAGAATTTCCTCAAATGACTCCGTTCCGAATTTACACATGAAAAGCAAAACGAAGTTTTCTTGATTCTCCACAGAAGCGAATAAGTCAGGAGTGTATGCATGATTGAGACGAAAGAAAAAATACAGTTAAACCCTGAGCTAAGAACAGATGGACAAGGAAGTAAAATTTCAATGGACAATTGTCCATTTGCCTCTGCCCAGGTTACACCACTGGAATGTAAGTTAGACGAAGTGGTAATAAAAAATAATTTCAAGATCCACAAGCAAAATCTCGAGAACTTTATTATGCTTGATTATGAAAAAGTGAATTAAGCGCTTGAAGTCATGAGATCTTATTTGCAGATAGCGGAATGAAATTTAATGGTTTTGAAAAACTAGAAAAGAAAGTATTGAATGCCATTAAAATTAAAAACATACACGAAAATCCGTCGTAAAAATGATACTGTGCCCGGTAGTTTTTCAGTTGTGAAAGCATTTCAGAGATCAGTTGTCCGTATATTACTTATAGGTATACTTTTCATTTTGAAGTATAGCTATTTTCAGTAAGATCTATTATTTTCATGCGAAAGTACAAGAAAGATGTTTTCAGATGTATGTTCAATGATGGTGAGAGAAACAGATCGATTACTACGTATCAATTTGAATTATCATTTGAAAAGCATTTGATATCAATCGATACGAAGCTTCTGGTTCAAACCTTGATTTGATATATTACCTACTTGGACCTTTCAATACAAAAACGAATAGCACATCTACAGAGCACTGTTGTGTTTATTTATGAATCAGAGAATCCAACTGTTCGCATTAGAAAGTATAGTTATCATGACGAAGCGTAAAGATCTTTGATCAGTCGACGAAATTTTCTTCTGACAGTAAATAAGAACTTAAACATTTGCATTTGAAATTGGAAGGTATGTGATCTCTTGGCTGTACTACATATTGAAGTCTTTTCCAAGCAAAGTTATATTTTTTCATCAAATTAAGGGGCTCCCCCCCCCTCAGGAATCGTTTTTCGTTATTCGTGGACCAATTGGCCTGAGATTTTTAGGCAATATGGATGTTGTGTTAACTCAATTTATTGCAAAGTTTTGGCTCATAAAGTTTTTGCTTTGAAGAGCTATTGACAAATTAGTCCCCAAAATGGTGGTTCTCATAAGGTACCGATTTCTCGAACTGCCAAAGGCGTAGAAAGCTACTTTTTTTTAAATAAAAGAAGAAACCTATGTCTAGAAATGTACATACCGTTTTTTCGAAATTTTATTTTGTTCGGATTTCCGAGAAATTCTACTGCAAGAACTCGGAATTTAGCGCTTTTTGACATCAGTGTTATCCAGTTATCTCGGCAAAGAAATCGAATTTCCAAAAAACGGTACCCATGTCGTCTCTTTTTTATCAACTGTGCCGCAGTTACGCGCAGCGCCAATTTTGCGTCGNAATCAAATACTAAAACCAAAAAAGCCTGTTATTGGCGAAGTAATTTTATTTTAAATCTACAAGAAGAAGGGCTAGAATCACATTTCAGTTTCAACAAATAATTATGTGTCGCGAAAGCAACTAAAATCGTTTTTCCGATCATAAAGACATAAAGTAATAGCAATAGAAGGAGATGTATAGTGGATGTGAAGGATATGCTACTTATGAAAATAAAGTTGATTTCGAAATACTTAATATCACAATGTTTTGTTAGGTTAATAATTTCTAGACTTTATAAAACTATATAACGGTCAGATATTTTACGAATTTCATTTGAGAAGTAGTGATTCATACTATTTATTTTCTTAACGTTGGAATTTCTTTTAAATGCAAGTAAGTAGACATAAAATGGCTAAAAATAAAAATATATTTGTCATCAAAAAATTATACCTTGTTACGTAAGAAAAACCTAAACCAATGAATTATAATAGTCTCATCATGCACAGAAAATGCAAGCATGAAATAAACCATTAACTCAACGCTAGTCGTAACACTATAGAGAAAAGAAAAAAACTTATCAGTCAAGTAATTGTCCCCCTCCCCCGGTTGATTCAAGCATATGAAAGTAAGAATAGAGGCAAATATCAACGTGATTCATTCAATGTGCTTATCTTCTCCCTGCAAATCTTTTACATTGTTTTCTTTTACAACTTATCTCTCGGAAGTCATGCAGAAGGGTTTTTGCCAACGATATTTTTTATCATTTCATGCAAGTTATTATATGAGTATAAAATTGTTATATTGACTGTTTTGCTTCAGATTAAAATCTGATAAAATCACCGGTGTATTGATGGATTGTAAGTTTCAAATGAATCAAGTCTTTGATACTTTTTATTGAAACTTCAAGATTTTTTCACATTTTCGAACATGTACAGGATGCATTTATGTCTCTAATCGAATAAAAGATCAACTTATAATTAAAACATTCAAGCATTTTTCCTCCGAAGTTAGTGGAGTAGAGTACAGTTTAATTTTAATTTTATGTTTACTTTTCAAGAAATATTACGACGAAGCTGGTATTACTCACCAGAAGGAACAAAAATAGGCTTTTATTCAATGGAATAACATTTTATCTTTAAATCTGAAAAGAAAAGAAATAGAAAACGCAAAACAACATCCTCCATCAATAAGATGATAGTATGCATACTTTCATGATCAAAATGTCTTTTTATTGACAACTGAAACACGAAACGAATAATGGAAAAATTCAAATATTGAAGTAAAGATTTATTCTGCAGATTATAATGAAATAAGGTATTGTATGTAATGATTAGCTTTATTTCCCTCAATTGTGAAGGGCACTCCATATTGCATCAAAACACTAAAATAAAAAGAAAAACAATTTTTTTGTTTTTTTCCCTCGCTATTCTCGATTATAGATACACATCGAATGAAAATAAAGGAACAAGAAAAAACCATTCTGATTCATCTTCGCGCATATTCATTCGATTATAAAGCCTCGTTTATACGACAGGTATTTTTATTATCTGCTTATGTTTCAACGTTCTTTTTGCCTCTCTATGCGTAGCTGTCTAAATCGACTTCGAAAATAAATAAAATTTTCCGCAAATCCTATTGTGCACTGGTAAAATATGAAGATAAAATTTATTCTATTTATAAATTTTATAATTCAAACATAAAAATCCATACAAGTCGACTCACACCCGCGACAAACACTTCGCGCACCCACAGATGCGAGTTATGCTAAAACTCTTTTCAAGTAACAAAAGTCATAGTTATCGCAGCTAATGACTTTCCTATCTCCAATGAGTATCCTACGATCACACCTAAATTTGCTACCACTCGAAAGGGGAATACCATGGCGTACATAAGATAGATTGAAGCATTCTTGGGTCTCCTTCCATCTTTTATGAGATAGTTAGGAGCATACCTGAGATTGTTAATAGCCTTCCTCAGATCGCCATTGGCATTCCTGAGGGTGTGACTGTGACTGTGGGTTTGACTGTCGGCTGTGTGGATGTAGGGCATCATCTTGTCTTAAACAACACCCACACCCACAAACCCAGCTTATGCTTCTTGACGATTGTTGATGATGAAGTAGGCATGATATCGATATGGTTTTGATTATTAGTAGATTCAAGTTGAGGAGACGATTGCGAGATGTTTTCGTTATCACTGGATGCTTCCAATGATGAACACTGAAGAAGGGTAGCAGATTGAATCGATGGGTAATCTTGATCGTTATCTTCGTCGCTGTCCGAGTTCAGTTGTAGATAATTAGTCCACTTGATCAATTCATTTTCATTTTCATCGACATTAGAGGTAATTTCAACGGACAAATCGTCAGCAAAATCGGATTCATCCGAAATCGAGTTTATACCGACGCCTGATATAGGAGCAAGGTGCTCTTCAATTTCTTCAACCTCATACATAGTCAAATATTGTAATGATTTAAGAATGAGAAATTTGAAATGAATAACACACGTGCGATTCCGTCAAGATATATATGTATGCTTATGCACAAATTTGTCTCTCTGGTCTATTCATTCATCCAATCTGTCTCTCTAACAAGATTACACAATAAAACGTCTGTATACATGTGACATTAATTGGCTTGTATAAAGTTCGTTGTTTCTTAATTAGATCAATGAATCGCTTCATCATACACATCAATGTTAATGCAATGCACCGTTGATACATTAGACTATTCTACTTCACAAACATATCATCGAACGCATAAAAGGAACGACAATAAATCACAATGTCAGGCGACCTCTAGTACACTTTCTCACGTGCAGAGCGCTGGTCAATGTAAAATATCACTACTGAGAGAAAGATCGATTTTGAAAATAATATGAAAAATCTCGGGTGTAATACAAGCCCTGAGGCTTCTAATCCATCTTTCATATCGACCTTTCTCTGGGGGACTTCTAACGTGGGAGGGACTTCTATTATNCCCCCCCCCCCCCCCCCCCCCCCCCCCCCCCCCCCCGTTTACATGAGCCCATCATGTTCATATAGAACTCGTAAAAAAAGGAATAAACAAATATATAACAGTTGCTTGTATGTTCCCTTTTCAATCGCGATTTTACTTCTCCGCAACACATTTTCACTCACTTTCTGCAGTGCAACTCTCTCTCTCTCTCTCTCTCTCTCAGACATCATTTTACACATCAATTCAGACTGTTAAATTAGTAAAGTAAAGCTCTACAGCACAAACTGAACGTTGTCTAAACATTATCTCAACTGTTTCGACAGTAATAATAAATGCTCCTACACTAATTAACTTCGTACAATTGCATAAGAAATTTGTATAATTAATTTAAAAAAATCAATAATATGAATAATGTTTATTTTCAAAGACTACAGCGGATCTTCAATCAGATGCAGTAGAAATATCATCAAACACAGTTCGTTATCAAAAAAGGATTCGCTTCTTTATTTTTTGAGTTTAAAACACGACGTTCAATCACTGGTGATTATACTCAAGAAAAAAGACTGATTCGATAGAAGACTTTTTTTATTTCTTGTTTACAAAAACTAATATTCAATGACTTTCATTTACAATATTAAGAAAAATGTGTAAAATTAATAAGTTATAAATATTTTTAATTCACAATAATAAATGAATGAAAAAGTGATGGCATATTTTTCTCTGTCTTGAAATAGTTGCATGAGTTAATGAATCGTTAATAATCATGAAAAAAATTGTATAAAATTGATAGAATTAATAAAATCCGTTGCTCTGAAAAACAAGCATAAGTTTTTGAACATTGAAATAATAATAATAGAAAATTCAAACACTTGTTCAACAGACGTTGGTGGATTGTAAAGTCAAGGAAGAAAACAAGCAATCACCTTTGAATATGTTTGTCCGCCTTTTGTAAATTGTACAGCAAGATATTTAACAATATTAACGTATAATTGAGCACCTAATGCATACTCCGTTAAATTAGATGATTGATGTTTTCCGTTTTTCTCTATTATATGGAAAAAAAGTTAGTTCTCCTTAAAATCTTTTTTTTCTAACTTTTATTTTTTATTGTATGAATATCAGCGATAAGTACAACTATTTCATTAATATCATGGTGTATACAGTCCGATCCATATACTGTTACATAATAATAAAAGACAGTTCGTGTAAATGCTATCCTTTTCTGTTTACGCTGTGGAGAGTTATATCTGTGGTAACTCCTTAATGTTTTTTTTCATACAATCAGAGAAAGAGATGAGTATACTTCAAAAAGACTTTTGTGTTTGCATACTAGAGAAAAGAAGAAAAAGATAACCTTAATTTTAGGCGACGAACATACACAAGTGCTTTCCAGGTAGAGAAGAAAAATTCTCGGGTGTGGGTATAAATCATCCCATCATATACACCCAAATCTACCCTAATCGTTTTAACGAAATTGCTTCATGAAATTGAATTCGGAGTTGTGAAATCATTTGAGCTCCTTGTCTAGATACAAAGTCGTATAATCATTGCGAAACTTGTTAGCACGTTGTCAATATTTGCATTAGTGAAAACAAAGAAGGATAAATTTTAAGAAGCATCCACTGCAGCAAAGCATACTGTTTGGAAGCTTTATTCTACTCTTATCGAAGGTAAATATAACTCTTAAAAGAGTTATCTTTACTCTTGATAAGAGGAGAATAAAACTTGCTATCATTTTCACCTGGTTAAAAGTAACTTGGTTGCATCCAAATACGTTGTACGCGTTGTGTCAATATTTTTAAAGTTTCGATGATCGAATATCATTTAGAAAATAACTGTTGTGTTCGTCGGGCATTGATTGCTCAATAGTTATAGCGTGCGCTCGGCCAACCAGTAATCATACGATGAGCTCGATTTCCTAGCGAAACATAGCATTTATTTTCATGAATGACATCAATCATCGAAAGTTAAAACAAGTTAGAATCAGTATTGTATAGTTATACTCCATTTCTAGCCTTTTAGAGTTACATTTATCAAAAGCAAACAACATTAATGGATAACAAAACTTCTCCATCACTTTTGACATTATCTGTTGAATTGATCTTTCGTATTCTGGATAATCTTCATGAATCGACAATTTTATTTTCAATGCGCAATGTATGTGCACAATTAAATACGACAACTGACGCATATCGTCGATATCAGGTAAATACCATCTTTAGTATAGACTTAGATTTGAACGAATCTTTAAGTTATAGTTCAGTTAAATCAATCACTATTTCAATAATTCCATTCATTTATTTTAACATAATGATAATTAAGGACGCAGATCTGATACATTTGCCTATCACAGAACTCTAACCGATGTCACTAGTTCAGTTCTTTGATCAGAAACTCTCGTATGCAAAAACAAAAATGAACTAAAATACTATTTCACTACAAACCACAACATCATAGTAGCAATGTGATGAGCAATGACTTATATACACTAAAGAAACGCTTGTTGCTTTCGTACTATTTTACTCATTTTTCATTATTAATAATATTCATTCATAAATATATATAATCATTCTAAACTTTGAATTTGAACAACTATAGAGATTTATATCACAACTTCATTTTTTAAATCAAGATTCCTACGTGTGCATGGAATCTTTTTCTAGATCTTTTGTTGCAATCATTATAAATTCTCCAGCAGTAAGAATGATCTGAAGCATTCTTTCAGATGTTCAAAATCAGTTTTTGACTTAAAAGTTCATTAGAATTAGAATTCACTTTGTCGAAAATTCGTCTATTCGATTCAGAATATTTCCAGTATCGGGATCTATAGAAAGCTACTATACTGCCAAGAAAATCTTCGAATTTTCAGATTAAACTAAAACGAATTTCACCGCGTGAAAGTATTAGCACAAACAAAGCAATATCGATCAAACGCAACAAAATCATCAGCAGGATTAAAAACGAAAATAAAACGACAGAAGCAGATCATATTTCATAGTCCACAGCTCAACAACATATGATGAATATTAAAAATTCTTTTAACATACAGCGAGAGAACGTGATCCGTTGAGCCTTCATTCGAGTTTGATTTCTGTTTGACGAGCACTACATAGTCAGACACGCACTTTTTCACGGTGAACCTCTATACAATAAATCACTATATATACCTACTCAGAACATTGCAACAATCGAAACATAGGAAAGCCATTATGAAACAATAGTTTATTGCTTTACCATCAATATCTACACCGATTTAACCCCCCCCCCCTATTTTTTCACACCAAAATCTGAGCACTCTCAGCACAATATCTGCCCGATTAATTGAGAACAAATACCATGATCTTCATTCTCTCTTTATCTCGCTTATATTCTCATCTACATTTTTTACACAGGCATTTACCACACTAGGTCTTACTAATAATCACTTCGGAGCTGACGGAGCACAACGTGTGGCTGAGGCATTACGAAACAACACAGTAATCCTGATCAATTCTTCAGCTCTCTTATATTATCATTTTAATCTTTTCATGTAGACAATCACGACACTGAAACTCGGAGGCAATCAAGTCGGAGATAAAGGAGCACAATATCTGGCTTATGCGTTACGAAATAATACGGTGACCCTCATTTTCTTTTCATTCCCGCGTTGAAAACTAGGACGTAACATATTGAAATTCAAATAACATCATACAAAAACATCGTCCTCTTAGAAATCTTACGTCATATTCGCACTATCACAGTCCTGAAAGATTTTGCTTTATGTTCAGATATGAATATATGATTCTAGAATATCATGATGCGAATTGTTATGAGCTTTCTGAGATGACTATTTTTTCTATGATCTTACAAGATTATACAAGATCAGATTTAGAATCTTCTCAGATCTTATTATTTGATTGTTCGAACTAGATCTCATTCATATTTTCATCCGCACTCTTTCCAACAGACAGTCACCACGCTTCATCTAAGCACCAATCAGATCGGAGACAAAGGAGTACAAGATCTGGCCGATGTATTACGAAATAATGCGGTGAGTCTCCTTTTCTGTTCGTCTCATTCATATCCTCGTCTGCACTTGTTCAAATAGTCACTCGCCACATTAGATCTCGAATACAATAAAATTTCAGATCTTGGAGCAAAACACCTGGCTGACGCATTAAGAAATAATACGGTAACCTTCTTTCTATCTTCATCTCTCTTGTGTTCTTGTCTACATTTTTTCACACAGACACTCACTACACTTTATCTCGACTACAATCACATCGGAGCTGTCGGAGTACGATATCTAGCTGATGCATTACGAAATAACAAGGTGACTCTCAATTTCTCTCATATCTTCATCTGAACATTTTCACGCAGACAATCACTATACTAAAACTCAAAGGAAATCAAATTGAAGATCGAGGAGTACAATATCTGGCTGATGCATTAAAAAATAACACAGTAACTTTCGCCCTTTTTTCATCTCTCTCATACTCCTATATGAAAATTTTCACACAGAGACTCACCACATTAGATCTCGCATCTAATCAAATAGGAACTATTGGTGGACAACATCTGGCCAATGCATTACGAAATAACACCGTAACTCTCGCTCTTTCTTCATCTCTCTCATATTCTCATCTGAACTTTTTCACACAGAGACTTACTGCACTTGATCTCGCCTCTAATAAAATAGGACCTATCGGAGTAGAACATATGGCTGATGCAATACGAAATAATACGGTAACTGTCGCTCTTTCTTCATCTCTCTCATATTCTCATCTGAAATTTTTCACACAGACACTTACTACACTTGATCTCAAATACAATCAAATCGGAGCTGTCGGAGCGCAACATCTAGCTAGTGCATTACGAAATAACACGGTGACTCTCATACTGTCTGCATCTATCTCATACTCCCCCTTTGAACTTTTTCACGCAGGGCCTTACTACATTAGATCTTTCCTCCAATCAACTGGAAGCTCTCGGAGCACAACATATGGCCGATACATTACGAAATAACACGGTGACTCTTGGGCTCTTTTCACCTTTCTGATGTTTCTATCTGCACTTTTCACACAGGTACTCACGACACTACATCTCGAATTCAATGAAATCGGAGCTGTTGGAGCAAAGCATCTGGCTGATGCATTACGAAATAATACGGTGATTCTTACTCTCTTCATCTCTCTCATACTTGAGTGTGAATGTTTTCTCACAGACACTCGCAACACTAAAACTTGGATGCAATGAAATCGGTGCTCTCGGAGCACAAGATCTGGCCGATGTATTACGAAATAATACGGTGACCCTGATTGTCTCTTCACCTTTTTCATAGCTCCATCGCCACATTTTCACACAGACACTCACTACACTAGATATTTTCCTCAACGAAATTGGAGCAGTTGGAGCACAACATGTGGCTGACGCGTTACGAAATAACAAAGTGACCATTATTTACTCTCCAGCTCTCTTATATCTTCATATGTACTTTTTGTCATAGACACTCATCACACTTAATCTGCGCAAAAATGAAATCGATGCTAAAGGAGCACAACATCTGGGAGATGCATTACAAAATAATACAGTAATCATCATTTTCTCTTCACCTCTCTCTTATACCGATCTGCACTGTTCGACATAGACGCTCAAGATACTAGATCTCTTCGACAACAAAATCGGAGACAAAGGAATAGAATACTTGGCTGGTGCATTACGAAATAAAGCGGTGACCGTCATTTCCTGTTGATCTTTCACATATACCTACTATGTCTTTTTCACACAGATACTCACCACATTGGATCTCACCTCGAATGACATTGGAGACAAAGGAGCAGAATGCATGGCTGATGCATTAAGAAATAACACTGTAAACCTGATCCCTTCTTCAGCTCTCTTATATTCTCATCTGCACTTTTTCACACAGACACTCACTACACTTTATCTCCAATACAATCGAATTCGAGACAAAGGAGCACAACATCTGGCTGATGCATTACGAAATAATACAGTGATCCTCATTCTTTTTTGATCTCTCTCATATATTCGACTCCGCTTTTTCACACAGACACTCATCGAACTAGATCTCTTCAAGAACAATATCGGAAACGAAGGAGCACAGCATTTGGCTGATGCATTAGGAGTTAATACGGTGATCATCGCTTTTTCTTCATCCATTTCTCATTCTCATTGTCACATTTTCACACAGACACTTAGCAGACTAAATGTTTTCCTTAATCCAATCCAAGATGGTCTTCGAATTCATGTGAAGGAACTGGTTGCGCGAAACAACCTGAAGGGGAAATCATGAAAGTGAATATAGAAATTGATGTATCGTGAAAGTGAGCTATATAATGTTGAACTAATACCGGTTTCAAAATAAAAGAATGTGGAAACTTCGGATTTCATCCGAGAGTTATGTTTACTGCAAAAAGTGCATGGGACATAGGAGTCATGTTTCGTTAGACAGCTACGGTTTAGTTCAAAACTAATACCAGATTCAGAATCAGCGTTAAAAACTGAGCCGATTTATATATGTTGTGAATAATTCTGAGAAAAATTTGTTTTTTTGAAAAAAATCTCTGTACCTCTCCTCAGGGATGGTCTGGTCAAAAATGACAATTTTTTCGATAACCCAACCATTTCTTGAGAGATTCTTCTCATCTTCGAACTCGACCGGGATATTCATGAGATTGAACTGTATGGAAAATTTCATTACGATCTGACTCTCCTTCCGAAAGTTATCGTGCCTACGGCCGGCCGGACACACTGACAGATTCTAGAGTGTACTCGCTTTTTGAGTACACAAAAACAATTTTCTCCGAAAAATCTTTGTAGGAGGATACGGATGTATCAAGAAAGAGTTTCCAGAGAAAAGCCTGAAGGAAGGTAAGGGGGTTTTTAGGATAAATTGTTTTTTCATTTGAAAAGATATTTTGATACAAGACAGTAGAGGATCCTGTGTTGATTTACACCGAATGAAGTTTATCTCGCATGCTGAAACTCTTCAAGCAGTTTCTGAGTGAGCTTGAGTACATTTCCTATAGAAAAGGGCTTATTTTTTGGAATTTTTCAATTCGTCTTCCTACATCAATCTACGAGATTCCACGCTAGTTTTTTCATAACTTGGGATTATTTAGTGGATACCTTAAACCCATATCAATCGAATTTTGCTGCATTACATATTTTGGGAGACTGGATCTTACCAAAGTTGTAATTTTGATCAAAAATTATGATTTTCCAGCAGATCTCCTGAACGATAGGAACTATGTAGAGAGCTGAATTTTTTACTAGACCAAGTACTAAATGAGATCTCTCCGTTCTCAAAATATCAACTGTCTAATATTGCTCCTTCATAAGATATGTATATGCACAAAATCCAGAAAATGATCATTTTGTGTGCATCTAGTAGTATTGGCCAAGTTATCAATAGTTTAAACTGTTTGAGCTCATTTTTTTTTCTGTAATACATAAACAAAATATTTACTCACAGGAAAAATTTCAAATCAAACGCATGCCTGCTTGATGAGATACAGATGTCACAAAATATACCTTTTCTGACAATAGTGCCCTCAGAAAAATTTAAATATCGCGAGAACGTAACAGTATTTTTTCAAACGGTTTCTATCAAAGTTCTGAACACTGTTCCCTCTACAACATATCTTAAATTGAACAAAAACTGTTGACCTCGGTTGAGCGACTTTTATGGGAGTCGGATGTGGGTGGGTGGGTGTTACTGTATTTTTAACTCAACCACCCACACCCACACTCAATGCTAAGCAATATAGCCATTTTTAGTTTTTAAGGACTAAGTATCAGCACTACCATTTTTGTCATAGATTCTAATATTCCTTGAAAACAAATTTTATTAGAGAAAGGAAAAAGTAACAGTTCATATATGCGAGGATGTGGCAGAATATGGGGAACAAGAATGCATAATTAGAATTAATTTTCGTTCCAATAATGAAAAAAGTCAAGACCGCAATGTTTGGTAATTTTTCCGAGTTTGACGCAGTTTTCGATTTTCTTCATTTTCCTGCTCTACTTGTGATTTCTATATCTTTCTGTAGGGACGTCTGTTAAGGTATTTTTTTTACCATAACAACAAGTCATTATTTTCTACAATATAAGGACATATTCACTCAATTTGAAGAACCCTTGTGTTTTTTCGGGGACAAACTCCATGGAGTAGGCCTTTCTCATATTTAGACAGTTGTATTGATTCAAAATGAGTTCTAATTGATCACTGAAATGAATCAACTAACATTATGCTTCTGATGCACAATTATAGTCCAATTCATTATAGAGATGATTTCTGGTTCGAAATAGAAACGATTGAATCAAATTGAATCTAATCAATTGAGACTAAACCCAATTTCAGCCAGTGAAACTCAATGTCTTTCAATCTCTTTATTTTCTCTATAAAGATATAAGTATCTAATTATAATTATAATTATCTAAATGCTAGAATGAAAGTCTGCATGAATAAATTAAAAACGTTTGTTTATATTAGAGCATCCTTTTAAAGACTGGTTAAAAAGTTGTACATAGAATAAAATAGAAATGTAGCATAGTTGTAATCGCCTCTAATGTCAATAGTAAACGGTATCGGCATTGTTGTTATAATATTTAGAGATCTATTTCTTATTTATCATCTTTTTTCATTAAAATTTTCTAACGTTCCTGCAAATAAAAAAGTTACCCTTTTTTTGTCAATCGCATTGCACACGTAATAAAAGGGAAATGTCATGAGTGTCCTTGAATAGAAATTGTATCGATGTATGCTGTAGTCAGCCAAGCAGATTCATATGAAAGAAAGTGATATGTGATAATATCTGCGGGCTCTGTATGACTTTGGTATTCTTAGATTAATCTTTTTACACAGACGGTCTGAATACAGGCAATGCATTTATTTGAAGCAATCATCGTTAACATTGATCAGAGACTATCTAAGTAATGGAACAACTGATTGCAATGAATATTTGCAGAAAGATAAAGCGAAGCTTAATAATAAATAAGTTGTCTGATAGACGTTTAGATAAATTCTGCAGTTTGAAAAACAAGTGCTATACAGAGAGTAGAGGAATGCAGTTTCCTCTAGATATATTTGAACAATTCTAAAGTTTCAAAATGCTCTAAGCGTTGAAGTGTGACATCCATAGAGGCAGAAAGATGGCAAGATGCTGAGGTCTCTGTGGAGGTTTTTCGGTTGTATTACTAGTGCCAGCCAAATTCATTGGAAAACAATGACTTTTGCAACAACGAAAAAAAACGTCATCTTTTTACATAGTCTATTTCATTTCTTTTTTCAAAATGTGCGGCGCAAAATGGCCTAAAAACAATGCAGGAACAAATATCTACTAACATGCTTTGATGATTTCTCGTATAGCCAAAATAAAACACCCACACCCTAGTTTTCTATTATTTATCCATGCTGAAATATATGTAAAATATAGCAGGCTTCAAACATTTTGGCACACCTGGTATATTGTAAAAACTCGCTCAGTGAAAGTAGATCTATATTTTCAAACTTTCCTACTAGTTAAGATTTGAAAAATTTCCAAAAGAATCTAGAGGGAGTCTTACATTTTGTGGTACAGTGTTGAACGCAAAACAATTGAGTCTAAATCTATGTTCAAATCAAATACAGACAAAAGAATAATATTTCATTGCAATAGATGAATGGACAACAATTCATAACTTAACGAAGAAACATATCCGTTTGCAATAAAAGTTTTAACACGAAAAGAACATCTTTAGATCTCTTCTCTAGCTCGAACAATGGCGCATGAAAAAGTTCGTTGATGTTGACCTTTCATCTTAACTTAACTAAGAGAATACGTGTTGAGTTCATGCCTGCAATCAAGACTGACTTTAATTTGATGGTACTATTCCATTTTAGATTCGAGTTGAACTTGAAAATAAATCATTTCTCGAAGTATTGTACACTCGATTAACTAGTGGTTAAACAAAAATATTATCAATACTGTCAACTGTAAAATCATTGTCGAGTAATTTTATTCGGTCATTATTTTCTCTTGGTACAAATGCATCAGTTCTTTCCGTGAGCTTCTCTTCTATGTATTGTTATATTTCGAAATTTTTATCGCAATTTCATCAGATCAATAGTTGTATTTTTTCTAACTTCATTAAAATAAAGATTCAAGATAAAACATAAAACAAAGATAAACAGAGAAAAAGCTCTAGATATCACATTGGTTAAAATTGTTTTCTACTTGGTGTGTTCATTCCAACTAAATAATTTACGACGAAGGAAGACATTCATGTATTTCTTACCTATAGTATCATATATTTGTCATGACAAAAAATAGAAAACTCTCACACAACGTTGATAGTCTTTATATTTATTTGACACTATCATAGAAATCCTCATTTCAAATAATAAATATAATTAAAATATTAAAACTTCGCCGGGATAGCTCAGTTGGGAGAGCGTCAGACTGAAGATCTGAAGGTCCCTGGTTCGATCCCGGGTCACGGCACTTTTCTTTTTTTGATTTCACATCAGAAGGGATCAATCAAATGTTACCTACACGAATGACTATGCGAATGAAAAAAATGAATTTCTTTTTTCAAACTGAAATCAATCTTATTTGTGCCCTTTTCAATACTTATTAATATATCAAACAATTCAAATATATCAAAATAATTCTAAGATTTTCATACTCAGTATGACAATCACGTTACTTATAAATCATTATTTTTTGGAAGCATAAGTCTTGAGTGCACAATTATTACAATACATGAGATCGCCAAGATTTTTTCGTATTTTCTTTGTCCGTTTTTTTTAATTATAGCAAAGCATAGATATGCTCAATAATAGTTTTAATACAATAAATTTATAATTCACACAAGAAAAAACACGAATATCTGTTATCAATCTTTATTCAATACCAATCGCTTTACTCTTATGTAAAGATAAATATCTTTTGTACAATTGTAATACAATATTGTAGCTAATTGAACATTTTTTTTTATTAGAAAGAGTAAAACAGCTAGTGCAAAAGTATCTGTAAGATATTGAGAGAAAATGTTTCTTGGATTAAAAAAATGACATGAAAGGTTGCTACTCTGATTTCTGCACTTAATGATGTTAGTCAATTTGGTGATGGCTACTTTGAGTTCGTAATAACCAACTGTTACTATCAAGGCAGAAAATGAAGTGGAAAAAAATCATATAATTATGATCAACACTGAAAAGAAAATTGCAGCGAAAATAAATTCGCTTTTTGAGCATGCTTTACGCACAAACATAATTATTATCTTTATAGAGGTTCTTCTTGGCGAGAAAAACTTCTTCTTCTAACTTGACAAAAGTCTCTCAACAAAGAACCAATCAACAACTATATTAAAAAGTGATCATGCTTCTAATTTTTACAAATTCTGCAACGACAAAGCATCAAAAAACCTTTATGTGTGCCATTGTATGACACTGATACAAAGCGGTGTTAGAAAGACGAAGCATCATAGGAAAACAACTGTTATCGAATTTTTATCATCATGATATTGATTGAAGAATGAATGGTTAACTACTCGAATAGAAGACTAATTTTATAACCCTTAGTACTTGTCTAGCGTCCAAATTTATTTTGGCACAAAATATTGATATTTTCTTTTCAGGTTTCGTTGTGGAGGGCCATGACTTTCGATATAAGATTTTTGTCATAAATAAAGCAATTTCCAATTTAATATAGTTACAATTTATTCAAATATTTCAATTATAAGTAGATCATCATCATCGACAAAAACTAACAATGAAAACTTAGTGAGGGAACTAGTATTTATAAGAGAAATCAAACAATGCATTTCATGCATCTCTTTTTCTCTGTGCGTAATAATGATCTTACGTTCACTTATCGATCATAAGTCAATGATTCATAGATAAAAAAAAGGTCAGCTGCGTCAAGTTTCTCACAGCAAGCTAAATCGAGCACAATACTATGCCAATCGATTATTCAAAAATGTAGTCCATATTTGTTTAAAGCTGTAAATCGAACTTTTGAATTGTTAAGGAGTATTTATCTGTAGATATACATGTCGTATCGAAGTTACACCGGTTGACGAAGTTAAAACTTCGACACACATGCAGCTCGGAATCATTTTTAATTCGCTTTTTAATAAATAATTTACTAAATTAAATACAGTTTAAGTAAATGCATCATCAAAAATAATATTTTATCAATAGAAATATTCATTTATTAAATAATAGTGATTATTCATAAATTACGAACAAGAAAAAAAGGTTGAAGACAGAATTTATACACATATTTTTTAAGATAAATTCTTAGAAAAAAAAGAGGTTATACAAAATTCATAGCATATTTTAACGGTAAATCACAACAAAAGTAAATTCGCAATACGCTTAATAAGAATGAAATTATTTATTAGCACATACTCCCGAGTTATGACAACGAGAATTATCGACGATAATCGAACTTTCGACGTAAAACATAATGTCTTATAAAGTACTGTTTTTGAGCGTAACATTTACGACAACTTTCGCATAAAATTAAATATTTAATGTCTTTTAATACGAGTGATCGTCAAAGTTTTATTTGAATTATATATTTTTGCTTCAGGTCCGGTTCAACACTGATCACTTGAAAAGAAACTCCAGCTGGTAGAAGAACTTCTTCTTCACTAGGAAATTGCGAAATTTCAGCCACGTCATATGCACGCGGTGAACTTAGTTTGACATTGGTAATTTCAATGATAAACAATGTATTTCCTCGAAATTCAGCCATCTTTCTATTTTTACTCGTTGATGTATAACTAGGCCATGTACGCCATGAACCTACTGCTTTTTTATAAGAGAATATTGTCGTCAACGAGAAATCTACTCCCCGATAGACTGTCCCAATATAGTCTATACAAGTGCGTGAATAATCACGAATGAGAAAGCAAAGTGGCCCGAGAGTTGCTAATTTCGAATGATCAGCGTCACGTAAAGCAGTATTTAAAACACGATAAAGAAAACTTTCACGAGTATACAAATGAATGCAAACGTTTGATGTTTCACGTCTAGGCTTCATTTTACACGATCTCAATTGTTCAACCATCCATTGTGCTTCTGTGACACTATCACTTTGACTCTTTACCGCTTCTTGTAGAATTCCATCTATACAAGCATCGATAGCCGAAGGAAAATCCAGTACAGCTTTTTTACCAGCTGACGACTTGAGCCATTCAGTAAGGAATGGACACCATGCTAACGCGTTTCCATATGATGGTGTTGACGTACGAAGAAGTGGAGAATTGAAGCGTTCTTCTCGTAAACATTCTTGTATTTTACAGCCTATTTGACGTCGTACAGGACGTTGTTTTGATGAATTAGTTCGATTGAATTGGATGCATTCTTTCAAATCTATTCGATATTTATCCAGAAGAACTTCTGGTTTTCCTTGTTGATAAGCTTCTTCAATAATTTGCATTTCAATATCTCTATATTTAACCCATTCGATATTGGAATTGGCATTCCGTACATCTCCATTTTTGAAGTACCAAAACACTGTGATGCTATCGCTTGTATTCATTTATTATATTCTAATCTTTTTCGTTTGCATCCGCTTTTGTTAATCGCCACATGGCGCTTCCATTTAAAAAAAAAGAAATCTTTATTATGACCATGAGAAAGAAAGATATCAATCCCACGCCATTATTCATTTTATTAAATCAATGAAGCATTTTGCTCTGCCCTTATCAATTTCATTTTTTTGCCAACCAAAAGCGCTATGTATTAAAAAAACGTAATTTAAATATTCTATTGCATCATATAGAGAAACGCACAGAAACATGAATGCTTGTAGTTTTACATTCATTAGTCTTCGCAATAAGTTGCCATGTCGAGTAATGGGCATTGAAAGAACATGGGACTATTTGAAAAATGAATTTGATCGAGACGGAAATGGTTTATCAGATCCGACAGCAAGATATTTTGAAACAATTGGACCTGGACCTCAATTATTTGCTGTTGTTTATCCTTCGGTTTACTATCACGATCAACAACAATGGTTTAAATATAAAAGTTCATATGATATTATTTTTGACATAATAGATATTCCAAACTGAAAGATTAGCACCGCTTTCTTTTGGAATATATTTTTTTTTGTAAATATCGTCTTAATATTAATCATTATATAAAATACACTAGAGGAGACAGATTCGCTGTTTTTCATTTTGTTCAACTCACAATACTTGAATTTTCTAGAGATTTCTTCATGTCTGTGTTAATATAATAGTGATGAGACGACTAATCGTGGTTGTTGGAGCGGATGGTCGACAAGGTAGTAGTGTAATCGAAGCACTACTTGAATATTCAGACAAATGGCACATTCGAGGAATCACTGGAGACTTAACATCAACGTATAGTCAGGTAATCTCTTTCATGAGAACTCTACCTAAAATATTATATCCGAGAAACTGAACATGTTAAAGTATTATATAAATTATCTAAACTGCTTTTGTCGATTTAACTCTTTTTATATGAGCTAATCCTAATGAATATGTGGGATCTGTCAAAATATTTTTAAGAAATCTAACAAACTCCAATAAACTCTAACGAAATTTCTATGAAATGATCAGAATATAACAGATTTTTATTTTATCTGCCTTTATGTTTTAGTAGTCAGACTGTTATTTCAAGGTTTTTTCATCTAGTCAATACTCTGTGTGCGTATGTCCAGATGTGTTTTGTGTTGTCGTCATGCCAATGCTTTTTAGTAGAATGTGATGACATCAAGCGAAGAAGATTAATAAAATAAATAATTAGTTGAGTCTCTTTAAAAGCTGAATTCTCAAATTGAAAGAAGATTGACATGTTTATAAACTTTCTCTTATTACTTTCTACAAACAAACAACTGTTAATTTACAAATATATTGAATTGCTAAATATTGCAAGATTTGGTGCGCAACGACATATCCGTTCAATGAAATTTTGCAACGAATAGTTCACGACAAAACGTCTAGCCATCATTTTCATAAAGAAAATCGTATGTTCTATTCGCAATATTAACCGAAATCCATCTAAACTGAATCATTAAAGAAGTCCTTCTTTTTAACAATTACTTTAAAATTCATTTGTATCATCTACCGCACCTGACATTGTTTTTCTTTGATAGGAACTGATTAGACGTGGTGTACAAATGGTCAAATGTGACATTAATAATCGAGAGGAATGCTGCCTGGCATTTACTGGTGCATATGGTGTATTTGCGATAACGAACTATTGGAATGCAACAGATGGAGGTGAATATGAGCAAGCTTTTAACTTGATTGAAGCAGCAAGAAAAGTAAACGTTCAACATTTTATTGCAAGTGGTATACCAGATATGGCAGCTTTTGAGAAAAATCAATTCGATTTACCTCTGCACTCTATGTAAGTTCTATATCAAATATGACGAGAAACGTTTTTCTTATCAAGACACTTATGCTTGAGCCAATTAAAATACTGAGAATATTTCTTTCGATGAACTATCTAAGCAGAGTTTCTTTTTCCTTCAGTTTTATGTGAATATTTTTCCATTTTTCTTGTTATTATAAAGCAACAAAACTCAACTGGAAAATTATATTCGACGATTACCATCTGATTCTACGTTTGTTCATGTAACCTTTATTCACGCTGGTTTCTATTATCATAATTTTATAACATTCTTTGTACCTTACACGGAAAATATTGAATTTCGCCATCCCATTCTTTCATATGGTCGTATTCCTATGTATGATGTACGTGATACGGGCAAAATTGTACGCGAATGTTTTGAACATCCTGAGCGTTGGGGCCATCGGCAAACGGTACCAATCGTGGCAGAGCAATTAACTATGGAAGAAATTTGTAAGACAATTCAAGAAATATCTGAAAAATATATAGATTTTATTCCTTTATCATACGATGAAGCTCTTGTTAAACTTCATCGAGAAACTGTAAATAATTTGAGATGGTATAATGAATTTGGTAGTACCGATGAACGGCAGGCGGAAAAGACGAAAGAAATTTATCCGAAAATAAAAACATTCGCTGAATGGGTACGAGAAACTCAATGGTTGATGGAATAATAGACTATGTTTCTTATTATTAAATGCTCGATGATATGCGTTTTAATAAATAAATGAAATAAAATCAATATCTTTTGACTAATTATACAGAATGTACAAATGATCAACTTAGTCGAAAAGTGCTTTAGAAAATTCTGAATATCTAGACGTATTATTTATCGTATGAATTGATCATCTATCTTTTTCTATTGATCACTTAGATTTGTATGAACTTTTGTTAAATATTCAATAAGTATTGTAATTATTTGCTAATTCATAATGAAATAACTGACAATGATAACCCCCTTCTCATCTATCAATACTACTATTAAAAACAGATACAAACGATTAGAATAAAAGAAGAAAACTATAATAAGCCTTAGATACTTAAACTCAGCGTCCACTAGATACATCAGGTTTCGGGGAAATAGACCTCTTTTACTGTCTTCATGAAATATATTCGATCGTTCGCGCCAAGGTGAGAAGAAGAAAAATATTTCTAATTGTTCTTAAAAATGCTACCGTTTCAAATTGTCATACCTTTCAGACTGATAGTCTGTTAAGATAATCTCTTACAGTATAACTCTTAATCACGCTATAAAAAATCGAAATCGTCAACAACAAAACAAATCTGATTGCGAGGATTTTCTTTTCATTCAAAAACGATGTTTATGTTTGGATATTGGATCATAAATTATAATGAGACACGTTTATTTATGTTCCTCTGTTTTTTTCTCTATTGCTCAATCATTGAAAGGAAATAGATAAAAAGGTTTAATGTTGTTTACATCATGATCGTTAGATATCGAGCTGCTTATTATGTAATCAGATGAATGAAGAAGCCTTCACTTCACTACTAGTATCATTGATGAATCAAAACAACTTTGTCTTTTTGGTTATTGTTTGATGAAACTTTTCAATCTATCTTGAATATCCTATTATAATAGTTACAAAAAACAGTTCTGAAATATAAATCGAGTAATTCAAGATGAATATATTGCCATTCGCGTATGCACCAGCCAATGAGGTAACAAAAATAAAAAAGTATCTCATCGGTATCATCTGCTCATTTAAGTGTACCTTTGGCAGTCGAAACTAAACTAAGATTAGTTCTTAGGACGGACATTTCGCATTATACATCAAACATCGATTCTATAATCCACATATTCTATCAAAGATGTTTATTTTTACGTGTCATTGAAATTATCCAAACGACGAATGTTTCAATTTTCAGAACAAGTTGAAAACAAAAAATAATGAAGATTCTATTAATGAAGTCTTTTCACATTTTGGGATTGTTTTTGTTTACGTTTTTTGATTATAATCAAACATTACAACAAAATGAACAATATCTTGTTACTTACACATATTCGGCATCACAGAAAATATATTCATTTTATTCTAACGATAAGTTGATCAATCCTTTTGTATGATTTGTAATATGATAGTCTAACAGCATATGTGAGTGTTAAGATAGTATGATTGGCAGTGAAATTTCTAAATTGAATGTTATTAAAGGATGCTTGAAAAGCAATATCCATGATTTTGAACCATTTATTATTGAAAAAATGAAAATGTTCTAAAAATCGATTTTATGTTATTCAATTTAATGAATGGAGTTAATAATGATCTATGCCTTATTCACGATTATTTATAGTAAAATGAGATTAATATATATGTATCAAACTAAAAATAACTTTACAAACATATCTCTTCATCATGCTTGTGTATAAAAATAAAACCATAATTATGAGGATAGAGTAAGAAAAATTTTAAACAATCGAATTAAATCTATCAGTAAATCTTCGTATTCCATCATTATGTTTTTGTTTGCATCAAGTCTTATTATAGATACAAATAGTATTACTTTTGATGAAAAGTATATTTGTATATGATGAATATTCTTTTTGGTTAATATTAAACGTCAGGTCCTTTCCAATGAATAATCTTGAACCACAGAAGTCTTACTTTTCTATTTAACTCTGTCATTATTACAGTTTGCCACGTGTTCGTTTTTCGTTTTATCAGCCAACTAGTAAAGAGTTAGCATTTGTCGTTGAAAACAAAAACTAAAGCAAATTTGTTTCATAATAAACCTCAACAGTAATGAGGCATTTATCAGAACTTTGGAAAGTATCTTTGATATTGGGTCCGATATTCACTATTCTTTTTGGTACATCGATTAGCTCTTTATTTTTGGGTTATACAAAATACAATCAATGTCCATTTCAACCATTTCTTCCTCAAGGTCTTGTTGGTTTTGGACTCATAGGTTCATTATCAAGCATTACTGCTCTTATTCTCGTAAGTTTTTCTTTTGTCTTATTAATCTATGACGAAAGTAAAATCATTTTTTGAAGTAAAGTAGATTTACATGTTACAATAGTATCGTGCATCTAAAAAACTCAATTGACGAATAGATAATCAAGTATTGAATGTTTTAGATAGTGGTGTCGTTCTTCAAAGTGGATGATTCTGGTGCTCATTTATGGTATCTGGTTTATGCGATCATAATGGTTGCCATATATAGCGCTAGCGCATTTATTTGGACATCTATTGTTAGTATATATAAAATTAATTCGTTGTTAGATTTTATATTAAGAAAAATTTAGATTGTGTTATTACTTCGTGCTGAATACTCTAATTATCAATCAGAAAATTCGACAGATCTTAAGTCATTCTGTCATGCATCAATTGATAACTTTTGCAATGTTTTTGCAACAACAGTCGGTGCATTAGCGTTGATTTTTTTCATCTGGTTTATTCGATGTCTCGGTCTTAAACTTTGGAAATTTTTTGGTAAAACATTATCAGTACAAGAAAGACGATGAATAAACATTTTTTTTTCTTCATATTATTCGATTTATTTTTATTATGTTACAAGAGAAAAATAAAAAGCTATTTCAAATATTTAATTAATCAATCGTTGAGAACAATTTGTTATTGCGAATTGCTGAGTATTTAAAAAAATTTTGAATATAAATAAGTTTCTTTAGTGAATATTTAATAGAATTTCAAAGAACTCTCAATAAAACTTAGCAAGTAAGAGAAGACTATTCTAGGTCATTGGATGGATTATATTTACAAAAAAAAATTGTCTAATTGAATAGTTGAGATTAGCATGATTTGTTTTCTTTTAAGAAACTATTTTTTTAATTAATCCATTATTTACGTTCATTGTAGCATATACTAATTTACAAAAAGAATATTATAATCAGCATTTATTTGATGTGCATTGTCATAATGAATGTTATCGATTGATATCTATGATATTCAATGAAAATGATCGTATAGAAGAATAATGAATTTTAAAGTATCTAATTTTATCTCGAATTATCGAAAGAATAAATTATTTCGACTGTAGATAGTTCAGTAATTTTCACTTTTTCTTGAAATAATGAAGTAGTGAAACCTTATATAGATTATTGTTCCTAAATTTTGTTCGAATCCATCAAAACTTAGCATATGATCTTTATCTGATACTCTACCATCAACTAAAATATTCAATGATTTCAATAGTAACTCTTCGATGAGCATCATTACTCAGCTAAAATTTATCAAAATCATTTATTTCCACTTGTTTAAAATGATATGATCAAATTTTTGTGTGTATTATAAATAGTCATTTGAAATCAATCTAATCTGGAAATGTTAAACTATAAAATAAAAATATTTACCATTGAATATTGTTAATGATGTTAGAATTTAAGTGGCAAATATCTCATACTTGAATATTTTCTTGAAATAAAATCTACAGTTAGCAAGTAGGACGCGTAAATAATCATAAATAATTGCAACAAATTGAGATAAAGCTGCAATTTTCAAACCATATAATATGCTCGAGTGAGAAGAGCAATCATTGAAATTGAAAGTTTTAGTTTTTGCTATTGTAAAAGGTCAATGAATAAACATTTAGTAGGAATTTGTCAAATAAAACAACGACAGAGAATAACAAAATGTTATATGAGCTAGCAAATAATATACTTTTTAGTGAAAACTATATTTTTGATCAATAGTTGTTAGCGAGAATGCTTTTAATAATAAAACTATCGACAACTTTCTTTCAATCTAATACGAAGTTAACTATTTCTTCAGAGAAAAAATTATCTAATTAGCAACGAATTATTATTTTCAAAATATTCTTGAAGGTGTGTTAAGCACTCAAATATTCAAGTTAAATTCAAAGCAGTATATACGACGTTTCGATCCGGCTAAAGATCCCATCAGGTGGCAAACGAATAATTCAATTCAATAAAGAATCAATTCAAGATTATAAACGATACTGTTTCTAACGGAAAAATATTTAAGTCGCGTAAATATTCTTCAAATAACTATCGAGACATATAGAATTGCGTATATATCCTGATAGGATGATGGACAACAAAGTGTAGATCAGTATCAGCTATATATTGTAGCCACTGCGTGTATAATATTAACAACAAGATAACGCGACGTTAGCGTCGTCAACCCTCTACTGAAAGGATTTAGTCATGTAGAACGTAGTTATCCTAAACTATCTAGCTGAGAGACTTCACATTTTATAGCTTCGAAATGATTTTCATGGAAAACACGATTGATAACCGAGCATAAATAGAAAACGTGCTTGTCAGTATCACCAAGAAAACGGCATCTAAGTAGTACTCACTAATACTATATGGCAATAGTGAATTTAAGTGCATCCGATCTGCTACAGCTCAAGCTATGCTACCAGAAACTTTCGATCAGCTGGATAACGGAGTGAAGCAAAAGATCCATTCAGGAGAGCTATGATCGAAATACTCCATTTTAGTAAAGTTACAAATCAAATTGGTCTATCAACTAGCTATTTAACATGAATCTGCACGAGTAGATCAGAGATTACATCAAACTGACTTTTTCTAACTCGATTTCAGTTAGATTTGTCCTAATTTTTGCTCAACTTCATGTGAGTTCATTTTGTTTCGGCGCGTTTCCGGTCTAGAATGCATATATTCATTCCCGGATGCATGTTCACAGATAGATAAATCTAAGATTTACATATTTTGAATCAAATCCACTCGCAATCAGGAAAAACAAAACTTATTAAGATAATTACGACAAATGTAAATTTCAAATATTACACACGACTTGAGCAATTATTTCACGCTCTGTCTTCGGAAGAACTTCAAGATATCTCCTAGTTTCGAAAATTGTTTCAACTTTTCTGATCGAGACGACGTGTAACTACTCTCTAAAAAAAAAGGGTATTCTAGGAAACTCAAAATAGGTTTCCGATAGTAACAAAATCGGAAACCCTTTAAGGGTTCCCCTGATACGGTTTCCGAGGTCTCGGAAACTGAGGAACCAAATAAAAATTTTCTTCGGATACCAATGTCAGAAACGGATTAAAAGTTTCCGAGATCTCCTTCTTCTCGTTCTGCATCGAGAACCACCAGATTGCTATAGCCCGGGTCGATCGTTCCGATCACCGGATGCTGCAGAAGCCGACAGAAAAGCCGCCTGAAAACCACATTACCCTGTATGGAAACACACGACATCGCTGGAACATGGAAGCAGTATCCCGCCCGTAAAGTTTTCCAAGTTTTTTCTCATGATCCCCGGTGCATCTTGCCGAAAAACACCGCAAGTTGGTTGAGAAATCATCAAAACAAATTCAGAAAGTTTGCAGCCGGAACACTGCTACCATGTTTTAATGATATCATCTGTTTTCGTACAGGATGCAGTGTTTTTCAGGCATCTTTACTGTCAGTGACTCCAGGATCCTGTGACAAAAACGATCAACATGGGATGTTGTATCTAAAAAGAAATAACATATTTCGTCAGCTTTAACTATTAAAATCAAATTTACCATTAATATTTGTTTATCTGAGAATGGATCTAAATAGAAATAAAATATTTTATCAGCTTTTAACTTTTAAAATCGAACTCATCATTAATATTTACTCATCTAACAATCGATCTAAACTGAAACAAAACAAGTAACCATCATCACTCGACTCACTGAATCCACGAATGCACAACGCAGACGTATTTTCTGTAGATACAGATACCGGTATGACCATTATATAAATTTTGCCCCTCAGTAGCAATAGAAATTTCAGCCAAATTCTAAATCTAAAAGAAATCAAACAATCAATTTCTGATCGATGGAAGCTACGATCAAAAGAATGATGACGGATTCCGATTCATGGACGTCGATAACCTATTTTAAACTTTCATCAGAATTGAGAACAGACTTGAAATAAAATGTCGAACTCTGTAGTCTGTGGAATGTGGATCAATCCAGGTTGATCGGAGAAAATATCCTTCTGAGATATTTTGAACTTGGATCATGTTCTGTTTTCTGAAATATTCAACATTTTTAGAACTATGAAAATCTTTTTCAAATTGAAAAAAACGCGGAAACCGATTTTGGTTTTCCAGAATACTTTTTTGACACTCAGTATGCTTAGAAACCGAAACGTTTTCGAATAATGGGTTCGAAAGCCAAAAAGGTGTTGTCGCATACTCATTCGGATACCAAGTCAGTTTTTCTGGCAATATTAGTTTCCTAGAATACCCTAAGGGTTTCTAAGAATATGGTTTGGTTTCAAGCGGCAAGAAAAAGGTTTTGTAGGATACCTTAAGGGCATCGAAATCGATATTGTGGGAAACCTGAGGGTTTTCGAGGTCTCGGAAACCAAAAGGATATTTTTGAAAACGCTTCAAGTTCTCCGAAACCCTCTCGGAAACGGTTTCAGGTTTACGAGAGGGTTTACGAATCGGTTTTGGTTTTCTAGGAAACGTTTCTTTTTTAGAAAGTGGTAGAGATAATCTTGAACAAGCCAAAGTCGATGCTATTATTGATACAATCGATGATTTAATACCAAAATTAATATCAATTTTCTTCGAACAAGATTAAACCAAAAAAAGAAGAACTCCGTAAAAATACTACGATGAAGAACTTCCTAAACATTTATAAAATCTCGATGTTTTACTTAAAGAGTTTGGTAACGGTGGTCCATTCTTCGTTGGTAATCATTTAACATGGTGTTACAGTCATATGTTAATTCCTTGACTCATTTCTTTCAGAAATCATCGATTTCCTGGCTGAATTCTGATTCAAAATCAAAGATTTTCCCTAGGGGTTTTACCCTATATACTTCAACACCCCTTTCAGATCGTGTTTCACAAAAGGAAGGACTTACGACAGTCGAAAAGATGATGTTATTGTTCGAAATTAAAATGTCTATTGTATAGATGATGACGCATTATTCGTTGTTCCGGCTATTCACTAATAACTATGCTTATATGAATCGATTATTTCAATTATAGTTCTAGGTTACTTAGTACTAATGTTAATCTTGATTGAGTCGAATTATTAATATGGAATTTATCTTACTGCTTAAGCAGGTCTTTTGCTTGTACACGATTGGCTTTTGAATGAATTTTACAGTTTTCCACACCCTAAAAAATTATAGGGGTGTGGGTGTGAGTGCAAGTTGAGAAGAGTCACATTCACACCTCACATGGTACAGTGAACGTAAGAGATCAGTCGAATAAACAATCAGTTAGTGTAACAGATACTACACTGTAAAGACAAATCCGCAGAATAATAAACGGAAAAAGACGTTTTTAATAGGGTATTAAGCAAAAAAAGAGTTTATGAATGTGTAACGGGACACACAACCTTTTCTTCCGTATATGATGAAGATAATAAACGTTTTTCCGGTTTATGATGTGGAAAAAGGGTTTATTATGTATTTCAAAAAAGGAAAAAAGGGTTTGTGTTCCGGTGCAAGTTCATAAACGTTTATTTTTTTACAGTGTAATAGGCATACTATGCATCACAATACAAGGCATTAGCAACTGGGTCCCGCTGAAGCGAAAAATTAATTTATTGAAACAGCTAAGAGCAATACCAAAGCGAGTGTAACAAAAGTACTCGAAGTGGTTATATATTTTCTGCCTGCTGATACCTGCAATACATCAATATTTGTCAAGTTATTTTTGTTTAATATAGTTGTGATTTGTAAAAGTGTTGAGTAGTCATTGCACAAATTCCGAGTACACTCAATGTCTACAGTCAAGCGAGAGCGGATATCGTAAACTGAAATACGGGCACCAACAGCTACCTTGCAGCCACGCGGTATTGTTGATTTTTCCTGATCGTCGTATCCCAGCAGGCAAACTTGATCAGACGAACATGAAACCATTGTATCCCCAAAATCGTAACAATGAATTGAACCGTTGCGTGTCGAATTTTCAATAAGCATTTCAAGTTCTTCATATAAAAGTTTAGCATCATAATCACGATGAATCATTTCATCTAGTGCACTCTGTGAATAAGTTGAAGCACAGTCATTTCCCGTTGAGCATCGATAACTGAAGCCATAAGTAAGATGAGGACCATCTTTTATGTGAATGACAGTAGTCCACAAAGAACCTTCACCAAAAGTCACTTCATATGTCTGGTTGTCGTAGTGTAGCAAAAAATAGATACCGCATTCACGTGCTGTAATATGGGTTTGACATTGATCGGTTGGAATACGAAATGATTCCCCAAATTTAAATCTGCCTGCATAACAGTATATACATTCAAGAGAGTAGATTGTGTCTATACATAGTGAAAGTATCAGTAGCAGCGAAAACATACATGCGTTTATTTGAAAGAAGGCAGAAATCTGCATTTGTGTTCTTATCACATATAATGTGCGCATTTTTTATGTAGACAATTTTTCATAGCTATAGCAAATATGTTTGTCAGTGTTATCGCAAGATTATTCACCTGCCTTCACAATACACTTCGAAGCGTCAGCATTGACGATAATGGCAACGATGAAGTTTTAAAATGCGTATGAAGCATGTGCTTGATTCGAACCACTTCTCAGTAAATTATGACCTGATTTCTTTGAATTTGAGTGTGGGTCTATGGGTGCGGGTTTCAGTATGTATTCTCTTCTAGACAACTATACCTACACACCCATACGTATGCACGGATCCAATCTAGACGTATGATGCATCAAATTTGTTCAAGGTTAATTTGCATTCATAGTATCCTCAATAAGCTTTTCAACTGATCTGACACATTTCTCAGAGAATCGTGCCGTTGATCTGATAAGAATGTAGACACAATTGATTGTTGCTTTTAGAATAGTAACTAGCAGGTGAAAATCGAGCGCACCTCACTTGAGAGTCTATCGAGTATTCCATTTCAAACTCAATTCGAAGCAGAAAAAAAACTTCGAATTTTCAGAAACAACGAGGATAGGTGTGGGTGTGTGATATCTATTAGATCAACATGGACACCCACACCCACACGCTCATAAATGATTTATTTGATCGCAAATGAATCATTGTTGAAGTAAACAAAAAATAGCGAAGACATTCTTTTTTTTTAACCATTCAACATTATCTCATCATCAACGAAATAAATCATATGCTAATGTGTACGTCCAGTGACTGCCAGTCACTGACTGGTATCTTTTCAACTTGAGGAAGAAAGATTAATTTGTTTGATAACAAACGAAATCGCTACTTTTTTCCACAAAAAATAAGAGTCGCAAATTGTTAATGAATTTGATTTATCCTCTCAAAAATAAATTTAGCGACATTGTCTGCTTGTATTTCCAGATTTTTAGCAAGCTCTCGAAGTTTGGCCGATGTCTCACATACTTTGTTCTCGTGTAGTGCCTGTGCACTGATTGCAAGATCAATTATTTGAAATGGTAGAGTAACAACACCTAGAATATGAACATTTGCTATGTCCATTATGATTGTTTTACTTTTCTTACCCATTACAGCCGAAGCTGCACCAGCAATTTGAACGGTTCTAATTGACACAGATGCTGCCTGTGTGACACGAATAATTGAGCATGTCAGATTAGCTACACCTGCTATTCCTTCGACAACGCTTCCTGCTGTTCTAAAATCAGTTTTATCGTCGAACTGATTATTCTGTATGTCTTTTATCATTTGTTTTAGATAATCAGCTAATTTTAAAAGGTTTGATTCATCAGCTTGACAAAGTGCATCTAATTTCGTTAAATGTGATTTGGTCAAAATACGATTAGTGATATCGGAACCTAAATGAGCTGCACCGCTTGTTGCCGCTAAGGCAGCACCACCAATGGCGAATGGAAGTGACATGCCCAAAGTCGGTATAGCAAGTACGATTCCTGCTACGCTAATGATAGTACCAGCAATTCCAGTGCTACCAGTTACCACTTTGGTAATATTGACACTTTTATTTTGATCATCCAGTCTTTTGGCAGTTTCCATAATCGCTGAGATAATTTCTTTTCGATTATCGAGAAAATCAGATAAGATTTTTTCAAGATTTGGTACTTCTTTGACACTAGCCATTTGAGAATAACTTTTCAGAATAAAATCTTAAGTGATAAGAACAATAGTCTAGAACAAAATATTGTCTCACATATTATCTATTATGTTTTCATTCTGTCTTTAGATATATTATAGAGAAATGTGTACAATTAAAGCTTGAAAAAGTATCATCTTTATTTTAAAAACAATAATGGATACGAATGAGAAGAGAAAAGGAAAGTCAAGGACCTTCTTGTTGTTGAAAAGATGTAGAAGAAATGTTCTTCAATCGATTAAAACGATAGGAATAATAGAAAAATGAAGAAGAGTATATATGTTGATGTGAGGCGGAAACAGTAGAGACTTCTCCCTGAAGTCTTTTATGAAGACCTCTGAACAGTCTTCCTAATGGCTGGTATATCGAGTAGAAGTAAAACATAAAAAACACCTCGTGCTATTGATACGCATACAAGGTGAAAAAAGTTGATCCTATGACTCTATTATTCCTATTATTCAAATAATTGCAGTCCCCGAAACAGGAGAGATAAGTTACTAGGGGCGCCAATTTATATTTACTTTTTATTTAATTTACTCGTAAATTATATTATCTGTACTTGACATTTAAAATAAATGTAATTAAATAATTTTTCCTCATAATCTATATTTGTAAATAATGTATATCTAAAATAAATTATCAAAGGTTATATTTATTCACAAATATAAATTATAGAAAATAAAAATTTATATTTATTGTGAAGACACAGGAAAATGGCACTCCTATAGTTACCCCATCATAACCAAGTGACAAGTCAACAAATGAATTCATGAGTTTGATTATTTTTTAACGAAATAACTATCGGTGAAAAACCAAGATTTTTAAGTTTGAGGAATCCAAATCTGATACCAATTAGAGATTCGGATTCCGCGACGTCGAAAAGCTTTGGTCAAACTTAATAGAAAATTGCTGTTTTTGAAAAATACCCCTCTCCTGATAAAAGAATCGAAACTAAATGATCTTTACATCACATCTACCACTTGTTCACTTAATTTCAAGTGAATTAAGTAACAAATGGACTTAACATTAATTTTACCTTAATTAAATAGTCCGCATCTAGAAGTTTCATAAATTCTCATTTAATCTTGAAACCTATTGAAGTTTTGTGAAGTCCGCTATTCTTCTTCAGATAGAAGAAAATGATGAAAAGAGGATCTCTCGTCGTTACTATGTATAATGATTAAGAAATAGTACTTCTTAATTTATTACGCAACATCTATATATAAAAAACAGGTAACAAACACTGGGTAAAAACCATTCCATGACACATGAATTTTATCTCAGTATCGATAGCGTCTGCACCTTCCTTTCATTTATATTTATTCTTTCGCTCTCTTTGTCATAACTCGACAGTGTTTTTTCTCGCGTCTGTTAACAATATGTTAAGTTGAAAGAATTATTGGTATTCTCAGCAAATATTGATTTTAATTTTTGTTTCTTTGCTACAGATGTTGTTCTTACCCAGATCGATCAAAACGGGTATCGTTTACGGTCCGTTTTCTGAAAGTAAACGGTAGGAAAATGACATATTTACCGCAGTAAACTGTCCGAATTTTCCCGTAGTACTGGATGCAGTAATACGGCACTGTAAACGATACCGTATTTTCGCCGTATACGGTCGTATATACGCCTGATTCTCATTACGATACGGCCATATTCCTGCATCCAGTATCATGGCCGTATACGGTCCGTTTAGATATCGTTTTTTTTCACCGTAAACGGCCGTATACTGACCGTATTTTCTGACATGGGTAGTCATCGCACAAAAAATACACTACTCATTATAGTTACCCAGGTCGAACAGTACGGTTCGTATACGGCCGTTTACGGTTACTTTACGACTATTTTCCGGGTGAAAGCTTGCCGTAATATCTGTCACAGTAATACGGACCGTATGACCATGAGAGTACGGAGCACAAACAGCCGCAAACCATGAAAATTCAGCCCCGTTTACGGTGCCGCACTATTGTGCCAGGTATTACGGGCAAATACGATCTATTTACTGCCGTAAATATACCATTTTGACATCGTTTACCGTCGATAAACAGACTATAAACAAGTCCGTTTTGATCAACCTGGATATGTATCAAAATGAGCGAAAGAAAAAATGTCGAAAATAGAATGTCGAAGGAAAAAATGTCGAATTGAAAATGCCGAATGAAAAAAATAGCGAAAGCATTTATTTTTATATTTTTAGACTGCTAAGATGAAAACATTATATTGCCTGATAAAATTTTAAATACATCAAAAAATGAAATGAATCAAGCATAATTAGTTATAAAATTAATAAAAAGAAAATATTTCTTCATGTATGTTAGTGTTAGCTCTAATATGTATAGAATGAAAGAAAGATATATAAAGAGCGAAAGAGACAAGAAGTTGTCACTGATGTTATACGACAGAACGAAGAAAAATATGACCTTCATTGGGATCGAACCCATACCTTCTGCTATCCGAGCAGATGTCCTACCAGTTAGACTAGAAAATGTATTAATCTTCGTTTAGCGTTAGTGTGATCCATCACTAGCGCTAATAATGTATAAGTTTATTTCTTTTGTTTGGCTATGATGAGTGAGAAGCCATCTAATAATTCAGCAGCATCTATTTCAAAAAAAATTTCTGTATATTCGTATATGTATATACATATTGTATCGATTTCTTTCGCAAATTCAATATTTTTTAATACTGTTTCATTTTTTATTCGATATATAAAATTGTTTAAAATTAGCAGAGGATTGCCTTTATTAGAGATAGAAAAAGATACGCTGCTTGTATTGTATTCGATGTCATCGAAATTTATAGTAAATTAACAACTAGTGATATGTAATGGAAAAAAATAAGGTATGGCGTATCTTTATTTTGTTATATCTTTTGTGCCCTTTGTATTTATTCCGTTAGCTAGATTGAAGAAGAAGAAGAAGAAGAAGAAGAAGAAGAAGAAGAACGCCCTGCCTTTCGGCTATTCGGCATTTTTGTTTCGCTCATTTTAATGCCATTCAAGTATTTCTTTTTCTTTACAAATTTTTTGGTTCTAGAAGTAAAATATAGAGTTATATAGTTCAAATCATATTCATTCTAATGTTACTAGATATGATCAGCATTATAATAATCAAATCATTTATTTTGATTTTTTTCTATTTCAGATTTTATTATTTATTACATGGCAAACAATTCGAATTTCACTAATAATCTTGAACATACATTGGATGAACTTTTAGCCGATTTGAAAAATCATAATTTCGTAGACTCATTTCCTGCCGAAACAAATGTACAATTCAATATTTCAGTTAATGATCCAGATTTGGTTAATTTAAAGACTAAAATTGTCGATTTCTTGGAACAGCATCCAACCATTGTTAATGAAATAAAAAAATATTTCTACGAGGACCTTATTCTGTATACTCTCAGGCGTGCATTGAATTCCTCATGTACTATGCATGATATTACCAAAACAAGAGCAACGTTAAGTAAGTTTTTTCGCACACCGGATCAGACTATCAGAATCATTTTTGATCATTTTTTTGATGATGTGAAGCCACTCATCTTAAAAAGCAAACAGCGATATGCGAAACGATTATATCAATTAATCCATTTAGCTCCCAATGTTTTAGTACGCGAATCGCTAATAGCTTATTTACAAAAATCAGGAGCATCTGTTTTAACAGCATTAATGTATGGAAATCAAACAAATTTAGTTCAACAAGAAGTTTCAATTTTTTCTAATCGATCGTCTTTGTTAAGACAACCATTTTTACATGATATGAAATCTTTTCTTTTACTATCTTTTTTTATCTTAATGTGCATTATATTCGGTTTCAAAATATTTCATTTAATTTTCTATTATTTCATAGGACTTCTATGTACTGTTTTTGTTTTATATATCCTTGTTGAAGTCTAATACGAAAAATCTGATTAAACGTTTTTGTACATTTTATAAAATTGCAATTCACATAGCTTCTCTTTAAGTTTTGGTTCATTGTTTATTGTGCTTCTCTGGGACGTTTTATAAAAATAAGCTAGATTTATTTTGAATATCACGAGATGTTTTTCGTCAATCGAAACAGTATTTATATCTGTGGGTGTGGGTGTCAAATTTATTACAAAAACTCACGCCAACACACAACCACATCCACGCTATCACCCACACCCTCATCTATATATGAAAGACTAATAATATTATGAAGAAGAACACTTGAATATATCTATACATACGTAGATATTGTACACGCAATTGAACTGCATTACATTTGAAAATAGTTTAGAATTCAATCTTAGTTCATTCTCACATCTATCATGACTATACTTTCTTATCAATACTTTCCAATCTTACGCATACATTTGTACAAAAAACCTAGTTTAAATTCGTATTAAATTTTAACAAAGTGCGAATAGAAAAGAACAAAAATATTTTTTACATTGTCTTAATACTCAATTCATCTATAGACATAATTGTTTCTAGAAAACTAATAACAATACGTGTATATATCAAGACAAATTTTTCTCTGAACTGATTCAGTTAACCCACAACTGGCTCCGCCCCCGCAATTAACCCCTGCTCAATCGGAGTGTGGGTGTGGTTGTGGGTTTGGGTGTCGGCTACATGGATGCAGGACATCATCTTTTCTTAAACAACACCCACACACACCCTGGTATAGATAGACTGATGGATGAATACTTCAGGCGACAATATAGTACTGGCTAGTTTCCTATTTTCACTTTCATTAGTCATAGCAGTGATTGACATTGAAGTATTGAATGAAATCCAATAGAGAAAAATAAATAAATAAAAGCTATAGATTAGGATTAGGCATCACTAATAATGGATAAATATTGTTTATCATTGTGACGAATGATGACTTGATATAGGTGGGACTATAATTCAGATAATTTATTCGACTAAGACAGGTCTATTGTTTTCTATCTTGACAAACGATCATTTCGTGAAAGCAACCAACACAATATGAATCTTCGATCTTTTTTTTACACATAATTCGAATACTATACATATAAGCATATCTAATTTCTTCATAAATGACTAAAATAACATAATCAATCGTTCGTTCGTTTTCGTTTCAATTTCGCACTGTATGACTGAAAATCTATTCAGTTTTTTTTTTATACATAAATAGAAATAAATTACAATCTAGAACAACTTTATGTATCACTCAAATAAGAGAAAAAAAAAGAATTATGTTTTGATCTATTTTTTCGTAAAGAAAACAAATCGAATGAAAATGGACGGTTTTGAAGACTTAGATCAAGTGGAAGATTTGATGAATATGTTGAAATCAGTTGTTTTGATTAACGATTTGGTGATTTTTTTATAATGGTGGACATATTTCATCAGATATTGATTGATCATTTCTATGATTTTCATTTACATATGATGTTGAATCTGATAATGGTGAAGTTAGAAGATTAACTATTGAAATTGAAGTTGATAATTCACTTGAGCATGATGATAATGATAAACAAAGCGAAATAACTGATGATGATGATGAACATAAACAATGACCAAGTGATGCGATTCGATTCAATAATATGAAACGAATTGGAATATAAAATAATGATGCTTGAAGTTTTTAATGTACTAAGAAGATCGGAATCTTTTAATAAGCGATCATTTGAATCACAAAGTGAAACTTAAAAAAAGCGATGATGACTGTGAAGAATGGAATGCAATGTTTACTCGTATCATAGAATAATGTAGTAAAATTTACTGTATCTATATAATCGAAGAACAGCAATAGGCATTGAACTTTGACATTGAAGATAACGAGGAAAAAACTAAAGAAAAGAGAAATAAAAAATAAGAAATGAAAGAAGAGTAACATAGTGGAATAGATACATCATTATTTCATTTTGATTATGAACAACTAAAGAGAAATGTTTTGATATAAAGCAAAAAGAAAAAATAATCGGTACGATATACCTGTATTTAGTATCTAATTCAATATAGACATTTCCATCATCTAGTCGCTTTATTTCCGTTACCGACATGAGCCCTTCCATATTTTTCTCTAATGGAAAAAATATATAAAATGATCATGCTAATGTTCATCGATTTTTTGATTGTTTATTTTATATACTTATATTCAGTAAAAAGATTTCAGATCAGATGACTACATATATTTGTGTATTGTTTATCGATGACGTTCAGCTTCATTTTATTTGTTGAATGTTAATTCTAAATTATATAATAAACAATTAAGATCAACGAACAGAATATTTACTGTTATTATTATCGCTAAATCTTTTTCATCATCCATTCATCGAGAACTACAATTTTGAATTCGATTCAGCAGCAGGTCAAAGATAAAAATAAATATTCGTAGTATTCTTTTTGTCTTGTTTCTATATCGTCAAAATATGCTTCAGGTCCTGGTCGATCATATAATCCATCATCAAGTGTAATACTTCTTTTTGTCATTCAAAATTGCTATTCTTATTCTAATTCATTCTTATATTTGTCTGCTTCATTAACTAATTCAGTCGTGGGTGTGGGTGTGAGTGTGCGGGGATGTGGAGTGGATGTGGGTGATAGTCTTCTGCTCATCTACACCCACACCCACACCAAATTGAACTTTCAATGACGAACAAATGCAAAATTTAAAAAAAAAACTCTGATTCCGGAGTAGAAATTGACCATTTTTTAAATACATAAGCTGTTGTTCTGCCATTTTTTTATGAAAACAGTCTTACTGCAACGTCAAATTCGTTCTAACCGGATAAATTTTTGAGATCAATCGATTGGCAATGTCAGAAACAAAGAAAAGTGTGTACAATACGGTTAAAATTGTAAAATATTGGCAAAATAGACTTTTCCCATTATGTTTTCGTACATAGGTGTGGTTCTTAGCAGTAAACGAGGTTCCGTACAACGAAAAACTAGAACGATATGTCTAAATTTGCAAGCTCCGTCGACTCTCAGCTGCAAAAGGATCGGCACTAGATTCTGCTGGTAATACAGAATTCTAAGTAGGATTGTGTTGAAGATTCATATGTTTGGCATCCTTATAATACAATTCTTAAGTTCTGCTTGTTGATGATTGTATAGAATTCTACCAGCCCTCTTTTGCTATTCAATCGAAATGCGTAAGTGACCATCGTAATAAAAGACTTTCGCTTCAATAGAGACTAAAAAGAAGGTCGATGATATAATCGAGACGTACTTTTTATTGGTGATGATATAAAAGTACGCTTTATTCTTTTAACAATAGAAATGTTTGAATTGGCTGAAATCCCAGCATACTTTTGAAAGACAACTTTGGGTAAATACATAGCCTAAAGGTAATACGTAACGGATTCTTATCTAAAACATACATGTTACAAAGAAAAGAATCAATGGCAATCGTATAGAAATGTAAAAACAAAATGTATGAGTGAGGACTATAAACATCTACAAGATCGAATCTCGTTCTTATCTTTGACGTGTCAGCAACGTTAAAATGAAATTTTACTCGCGAAATGACTAAACAATATGACGTCGGCGTACAATGTGTGAATGTTTAATTTCATAACAAAATCAGCATAGAATATGATTGTAGAATATAGCTCGAACGGACAGTAATAAGGAAGGTTATTTCAACTTTTTCTAGACGTTTCAACAGTCTGCGTGAGAAAGGCTTTGCCAATAGCAAGATGAAATGTATCAGGTGATCTCAAAATCTTCGTAATCAAAGAAAATAATGAAGGTTAGTGTCGTATCTACGACGTCCTATCGATGAGCAACTTTTTTTTGTAAATATTTTTTGTACAAAGATAAGAGTATGAAGAAGCTAACCATCGGATGTGCAAACTCAGTATGGAATAGGCGTCTCTGTGTAAGACATGGACGTAAGTGTCGACTTCGATGTCCAACCACTTGTAAAACACTCCTACTGATCGACATTCCAATGAATTGACAAAACTCTGAATACTTGTACCGATAGCGATTCCGTATGGGTTCATCAATCTATAATTTTGAACAAAATGCATAGTTACATGTTGGAAAACGTTGCTTTCAAAATATTTGTAGAGCAACCCAGAGAAAATTAATAAACAAATTTATTAGGATAAATCAGAATTAAATGAACAAAATTTGCACAGAATGATTTAAAGATTATAGAGATCTCGCGTTCTGCAGATTTTCATTTTGGCAAGTCATTAGTAACGGGACTGCCCTAATTCTCACCACCGGTCACAAGAACTTTGCCTGAAGTAAGCATAGTTGCAGTATGATAAGAACGTGTTGTTGCTAGCTTCGCCGAAGGATTCCACTGACCCGTCGACGGATCGTATATTTCCGAACTATCTAAATCACCCGTATATCCGTAGCCAGCAGTAGCAAGAATTTTGCCTGACTTGAGCATCGTCGTGGTATGATAACAACGTTCTGCTGTCATACTAGTAATATTGTGCCATTTGCCCGTTGATGGATCGTATAATTCACAGGTAGCAATAAAATCGGAATATCCTACGCCACCAGTAACAAGAACTTTACCAGAGCCCAGCAAAATAGCAGCATGACTAGAGCGTGCTGTTGACATACTTGAAATAGTATCCCACTGATCTGTTGATGGGTCATATATTTCCGAACTAGTGAGATAATTACCTACGTCACTACCACCAGTTACAAGAACTTTGCCGGATTTAAGCAAGGTTGCACTATGCCCAGAACGCGCTGTAGCCATGCGTGTAGGAGTTTGCCAGTGACCCGTTACTGGATCATATAGTTCAGAACTAGCTACACTACCAGTGACAAGTACTTTACCCGAATTCAGCACAGTTGCAGCAAGATGTGGACGTGCTATTGACATATTTGCAGTAGGATGCCATTTACTCGTTAATGGATCATATATTTCACAGTTAATCAAAGATTCAGAATATCCTCTGCCTCCAGCGACAAGAACTTTGCCAGAACCAAGTAAAATTGCAGCATGATCGGCGCGTGCTGTTTTCATGCTTGCAATCACATCCCATTGACCGGTGGATGGATCATATATTTCACAACTGGTCATATAGCCAGCAAATCCTTCGCCACCAATGACAAGAACTTTGTCAGAATTGAGCAGCGTTGCAGTATGATATTCGCGTGGCGTTGCCATACTTCCAGTTGCTTTCCATTGGTTCACAGATGAATCAAAAATTTCAGAACTAGCCAAGACTCCAGCCGACACGTTGATACGAGAGTTCAATGAACCTTAAGATAAAAATATTAGTGTAGAAATCAATATTCTAATAGTTGTGGTAGTGAAATCAATCTCGATTGAAAGTTTAGTTCGCCAGAAAATCTCTCAACATTGAGTATGGACGAGAATATTTAACAGATTTCAATAGTAATGCTATAGTTTAGTCTTTCGTTGGAAGAAGATGTCTTCTTTCATTGAAAAGCTATGGCAGAAGTACATATTAAGGTGGACTCCACATTGTGGAGTACTAATCTTAGAAAATTACTATAGGTAAATTTACACCATATAACGATCAAGAACATAGAATACTCGACTTGTATTGTCAAGATATAATACATTTACAGTTGGTATTTGATCAACAGTGTCTACGATTGGTCTAAGATAGACACAATGATCGAACCAGAATCCTCTGAAATTCAAATTTTAGCTCTGCTATTTATGTTAGTAACAAAGGCTGACTCAACAGTATCTAGACTATATACAAAATCAGTATACATACCGGATTCAACTTCAGTGAAGATGCTAAAATAAAACAGAAGTTTAATTAAATTAGTTATCAAATGTAAAGATTTGTGTATCGTGTAATAGGAAAGTAATTCATCTACTTTGTTATACAGAATAGATTTGGTTGATGGGATATGTCCAACTCAAAATCGTCTTTAATGCTTTCGTGGTCACAGACAAAACAAAAACATTCTTCGACTACTCTAACAATCTATGGGACAAATATGAGAGGAGAAAATGATGAAGAAAACAATATCGAGCAGTCCCCAATTTAGATCTCGAATATCATTATCAGTAGCAAACGCATCAACTGTTTCCATTTCGCCAAAGTGTATTTAAAATTTCACACATATAAAACAACTATACACTGTTCGTTATTGCTAATCTATCGAATTATTTTTCACCCTTACGAATCTCACTGCAATAGCTACTTACGTCCATGTCAACAATGAAAGTGCAACCAGTGAATTCATTGACATCATATATCACCAATACTTTGTTGGTTTTGATAATAAGGTTTATGAGAAATATTCACTGTGATAGAAAAATGAAAAATATAATATAACTAAGCAGAGAAAAATATGTAATGCCTTTTAAGAATGACGCGTGCAACAAGAATATGCCATGTTTCAATTTTCTCATATTGATGACATTCATTTTTTGCAAAGCACACAAAAAGCCATATGAATTGATCAAGTCATTGATTTCAAGGACTATTATCTAAAATTACTTTTCCTCTCTACTGAAAGGAGGGTCTTACGAAAAATCTTGAGGGTCTGTGTGGGATTTCGACATACATAGATTCAGTCTCTCACGCTCATTTACACATTGGTCTGATTTGTATCATTTTTTATGCGTCATTTTTTTGCTAGTCAAATAAATGACGCATAAGCTCACTGAACTCAACTATTAATTCTGTAGTGGCTGGCACGTCTTTATTTCTTTTTCTGTCGCTTAACTTAGTATACTTTGTCTTGCTTGGAATTTTATTGATTGAGACTGCATTCCAATTTCTGTGACATAATTACTACTGAAATTGGATGCATGTTTGAGAGTCACGTTGAATAAATTCAGAGTCTACGTTATGGCGCTTGTTACTCGAATTTTCAATAATCAAAATATTTCTCCAGAAGATTTCGGTTAATTAGATTCAACTCTTCTACAAATACAAATGAAAGGATGTGCGCTGTCTTATGAGACAAAACCAAACGCACATCCACACCCTTCTTGAACCACATTGACCAAATAGATGAGACTTTCACCAGTGGATGCAACTGCCGACCCGACCACAATACATGAACTATGATGGGTTAGTGTTAATCTAAGAGCAAAGACAGAATAAAGTTCAAGTTGCATCTACAATTCACTTTCATGACCTACCTTCTTTCGGTTCGATCACTGGATGTCTCTTGATTTAGGGCGGGGTGTGGGTCTTACCTTCTCTCACGTCCACATTCAAACCCTGTTTTTATATCGAGAGTACGCGATCCCAAGCTTATTTGTTTTTACGAATTGCATATAACTTATAAAGACATAGTTTCCCATAAAAATATTGGCAGAAAAGCAGGCTGAACAAAATCAGCTCATGTAATGTATCTGTTCAAGTAGAGTGCTGTTGGAGTAAATAAAATGTGACTGATGTGAGGAATGTGTGAGTGAAGATAGCAAGCATCATCGATATTAATCTCTTATTGTTTCAACATGGATTCGTGTGTGCTTAATTAGCTTGTTTGTATTGCTACTTCAACTGGTGTGTTTATTGTTAAGTTCTTCGTTGTCATTCATCGCATGCCTATATTCCTTTTCAAAGTATTCTTCGTAGTTTGAAATATTCAGCACATTGGCTTCTTTTCTTTTACACCCGAGACTATCGAACACCGACATCCGCAGCTATGACTGCGATGTTCTTGCTATATGTAGTTAATAAAATAAGAACTTCCTAAGACCAATTGCAATAAATGAACAAACTTGAAGGAGTTGACATTTCACGAACTCGCTTATCTTTAGTATTAATTCTTTGTGAAAGTATCAACGTTAAAGTATCATCTAGTACAGCAAAAAAAAAGATCCCATGAACACGCATGAAATTTCTCAAGATCACTCTGATTTGCTAGTTTCTCAGTTGAAAATTGATGCGTTCTACTCCTGGAGAATGTTTCAAGGGTACTTTTCTTTCTTCGTATGATAGGATTTATCTATTTGACTGCTACTTCGCTCTCTGGTCAGAGACAAGGACAAAAAATTGGAAAAAGTTATGGGATCAGAACCTTATTGGACAAGAACATAGCACAGACAGTTTTATTTTGCTGCAAGTGTTTTTCTACGTGCGTATTAATGACGCCATAATCTTTATATGAAGTTTCTGTAACAAAATGCTGTGTCTAGTTTTACGAAACTCCAGCTTCAGGAAAGTTTGGTTGTGATTCTCCAGCCAGTCTAGTGTCGTCAAATGACGTACCCGTTTGTCATGCCAGTTGGTTGTTCCTATACTAAGTTGAACAGCAAGCTATCCCTCAAAGTCTGACGATTATTATATCATTTGTTGACGATGGCTCAAGACTCTTGGTTGTTAGCATTCGCTTAATTTTCGGTATCTGTTTTCGCACCTTGATGATACCAGTGGTGGGCGACTGAGTCGACTGTGGTATCCACACGAACGAGCAAACAAAGTAGACGATCATTATGTACTGCACGATAAGCAGCCAAAAAGCAGACCGATAAAGAGTGCCGTTGCAATATGAAGCTGTGTTCGTTCGATCAGTGAACTGCACCCTATTCTTCACGCTAAAAACCCATACGTTGCCCGCGATGAACCAAGCGAAGAGAAATAGGCCTAAGAAGATAGTCAGGATGAAAATTGCACAAATGAAGAGATACTTGAACTTGGTCAGACACAGAATATAGACGATAGCGAGCAAATGCATAAAGAAGATCAGAAAACCGACAGCACCTTGAACGACAAGATAAATCGGAATATAAGACTGGATGGGGCAGTTATGCACATGAGGAATACCAAAGATGAGTGATAGAACAGCAACGGAGAAAGGTAGAATCAGTTGAAAATGGAAGCGTTTCGATTTGTAAAGTCCAGTTGTTTTCTTAATTACTTTAACAGGACCGAATGGTGCTGAACGAAGGGATGGAGTATTGTCTATTACCACACATGTTTCAACCATGAATGTTCACTAATAGGGGGCGTTGTTTCTAAAAATTGGAACTTAGAAAGTTCTTCTCTTCACAAAAGAAAAGATAAATCCTGTATCATATGGAAAAAACGTTGAAATGGATAGATTTTGAAAGTCTATTAAAACTAATAGTTTAGAAATAAGTTCACGATGGTGGAGCTCATGAGTAGTCGATAGAAGAAACAAAGCAGATAACGAATAGATCCGAATGGTAACATTGAAAAGTATGAATGTATATTTATCAGCAGATTCAAATAGATTGGATTAATAAAGGAATCGAAATTTATACTTCCTTAAAATCTAAAACATTTTTCAGATGCTGCGTTTATTGTCTAACTGAATAAAAGTCTCAGAGAAAGGATGCCAACCAAAAAATCATATCATTGCAAGACTATTCTAGACGAAGTTCTACTCAGGACAATGATTTTCTCGTCGACAACATGCCGGGTAGTGAAAATTTAGCACCAAGCTTGTGAAGAATTTCAACGCTTGGATTTTTTAGTACATAAATGAATTTTACTTAAGCAGTGAAAGCGTGTCGGACTCTATCGACGACGGAACCAACATTTACCATTCGTTCACTTTAAAACTCATTTTTATGCTGAAAAAATGGAACTATTTACAGCTACTGTTTGACATGAAATGTTCTTCACACTTACGATTTTTATTTATCCACCTGAAGAGCCAATTTTCCTACACAATGGCCGGTTGAATTACGTAAACCTGCAAAAAACGAAGATTGTTTGAGCGCAATTAGAACGTCAATATTACATTTTCATCATAATAACATCATGATAATGACGATTTCGTCTTTTTCTTTCTCTATTTCACCGCAGGTGATACTTTCTGGCCACGTGCATCACGCATCAATGACGGCAAGCATGTGTGTACGCGTAACTCTGTATTTTGTGCGTTTCTCATTAATGGCCAACCAAAATATTCTCCTTCGATGTATAATGTATCAATAAATGAAAAACGTTCTGTAAATCTTCCTAGTTAATGCCAGTTTCTGATGGAATGATTTCTCAATATCTATAAGATCGTTCGTGATTGGCATGGATCTATGTCGAACAAGCAGAACCAAAAATTGTGACATAAAGTGATCGCTAGGCGAACAAGAAAGATTTCATTTAACAAAAGGCGTGACAGTGAGCCGAAATCACAGATAAAACGTTTAGCCATATGTCAAATGAGAGTGAAGATTAGAAGAACGGAGAATCGAAAATGCCGGCTTGCAGCGAGACATTGTGTCTTCTTATAATTACAAGTAAGTGCTTTCGACAAACCTGTCGCAAGAAACAGTATTCATGAATACTAAATAACAGAGAAAACATTGTGAAGATTTGACATTCTTGTCTATGCTACCTATACTATTTTAACAATATCTTTGTAGTTTGTTTCCTATAGCAAATAGGCTACTACTGAATGCTCATCTTTCTTGATAAAGCAAACAAATCATTGTTGACACTGTTATGGAACTTTATTTTGGTTTCAGTTGCAAAAACAATCGTCTAGCATATCGATTTCTTTCTTCGCTAACTATCTCTCTCGGAAAGAAACACTCATTTTTATCATGAATGCATGTGAATGGTCGCACAAACAAGTATTACATGCCATCGGATGCAATATCATTATTAAAATTACCTTGTGCAATAACGACGTGTTCTTGAGGGTGTGGGTGTTGGTATTTGTGTTGGTGTGCTCGTTTTAAGCGCCTCTACACCCACACCCTTGGATGACATAATTTTGAAATACAATCGCGTACTCGAGCTCATTCCCATCGATCACAAAAAGGTACCAATCACACATTACACGCTAGCTTCCCTTCATTTATTGCGTGGCGAAAAACAACTCACAAGTGATCATTGGCACAAAGCAGAGACCACCGACCATCCAAATATACGTCTTCCTTGCCACGAACCAGTGCCCGATTTTTTTGAACCAAAAAAGATGGTCAAAAAGTGGATATTAGAGAACGATCCCACATCAGCATTGACTTCTACTGAATTTGCGTTGCAATCTTCTTCGTTACTGTCAGTAACAGATGAGAAGCAAAGACGCAGATGTGATCAGTGTGGCACACCAAACTCATCGAAGAGTTGTCCGTGTGGGAAAGCTTATTACTGCGATAAACTGTGCCAAGTAGCTCATTGGTCTGTACACAAAATGACTGGCGAACATAAAAAGCAGTGATATGATTTTATCCGTTTTGTTTTTCTTGATTTTGAACTTTCTGGTGAATTATTCCTTTGAATTTTCAGGCAATGGGACGCATGATTTTTCGATTTTGAAACTTAAGATGCGTTTAATACGCAATAAATTTAGATTCAAAGCAGAATACGATGTGTCTAGATTGTTGCTTAAATAACCATCATCAGATATCTTTAGAGCCTAATACTAAATTACTGTATAATAAGTAATGATCAAGAACTAACTGCTGTGTTTTCCAAGAGCATCTTTTGTAGATTTTATTGCAAGTCCTCATTACAGTCTAGAAACCTAATGCAAAACGATGCTAAGTATAATGAACCTATTTAAGATCTTTCAGATTAAGTTCTTTGTAAATCAGAATAGTATTTGTTATCTATTGGATTATATTGAACAGAAATTAGAACTGTTCTAGGTTTGTCAGTGTTTGGAGTATATATCTACATATACTAATTGAATGATATCATTGGTATGTTTTTAACAGCGAAACAGTCACTTATAGGCTAAGGTACATGTCATGTTTTATAATTCGTACCGTCCAGTGATGCTGGTGAAAAACAAAATTAAAGGAAGCTGTGAATTTCGACATTTTCTCATATGCTTATCGGGCTATCGAAAGTCACATTTCAAATGCGAATGGCTATTTTTTACTAGGCTTAACAAATAACCTTTAACGAGGGTGTGGGTGTCAGTCCTCTTTTGTCCCACACCAATAATGTAACATGATAAAATCTTTGGAATACGCATTTCTATTTATCTCTCATTTTCGACTAATATAATATGTCTGTAAACGTAGCTTGATTCATAAAAATGTATCGCATACAAACATGACTTAAATGTCTGATATCTCCGTATTAATATGCACACGATCAGATAACTTTGCCAGAGAATTTTTTGCTTGTATTAATTTGTCGTTTGCGATATGATATAGTGATGCATGAGGGTGTGAGTGTCAGTTAAAGCATACATGGCATTCATCGTTGCCTCTGTTGCAAGAGTTATAATGAAAATATGTGAGACATCAGTAGTATATATATTCATTAATTACTTGAGAATATTTCCCTTGATATTTTCTGAAAATAAAAATTTTGACTCATACCCTCAAGAGATTTTCTATATCTTGTATGTATAATGAAATCGCAAATACACCCTCACACTCTAGACGAAAGGGAGAAAAATAAGGATGCCGCTTTTTCTTACTCTCTTGCTATTTTTTATTTAACAGTTCTATCGGCCGATGTCATCGCATTGGCTTACTATTTTCAATGATAGTATGTCAAGATTTGGTTTGTCATTAGTAATTAAAACAATCATGAACTTAATAGAAACGATGGAATGCTACAGTTCTATATATTAAAATCAAGAGCTTTTAAAGAAGAGGGAAATTGATAATTACATATGGGTAATGGTTTCATTTTTATTAATGAATTTCAGAATCTGAAATTCAGATAAATATTCTATAACATTCTCTTATGTAGTATCAACTGGGCATACAAGATGTGAATCATAAATCTATCTTTCATACAAACAATTTTCGATTCTCGCGATGAAACATTTGAACGGGTGTGGCTGTAGTGTGGACGAGCAGAAGAATCACACCCACACACAATTGTTCGGAAGTACTGATTCACTATCCAATATTCGATGAATTTCCGACAATTTAATTATGTCCAAACCATGATTCTTAAGTTATATTAGGAAAAATTGCTACTGTATTGTCAACATTATTTGACACACTTTTACCATTTGCACTTTACGGCTCTCCAATAGCCCCAGTGGTAATCGCCCAGATCGAACAAGCACTGTCGTTTACGACTGTATGTGGAGAAATACGGTTAAATACATGTCTCAGTATTACGATGGTATATCTCCGTGTCGTATACGGCGAAAGACGACCAAATACGGAGACAGAAAAAGGTCGTTTACGGTTCCTGTACATTGAGCCCGTATACGACCGTTAACGATCGTATATGGACTCCGTAAACCTCGACCTGAGCATGTGTATCACATCTGGTATTATTTTCTATATCAATTTTACGAGCAACCCATTACAAATTATGATAACAGAATCCGCAATGATATTTGCTCAATGTGTCGGAACAAATCTCGATGATCACATTGGAAATTGGTGAGCAAATGGAAAGCGACAACCTGTTAGGAATATTAATGAACCTGTTTATGCTAATTTATCTGTTGAACATGACATGCATGATGATTGATCTTTTTGTTTTTTATTTTTTCTCCTAAACCGGGGGGGGGGGGGGGGGGGGGGGGGGGGG